TACACACATACTTGAGTTTTTGTGTTTATCTTCTGTAACTCTTAAAGAAAGCAAATAAGTTTCCAAATTTTTTGTTTTTGTTTTTGAAAAGCAAAGCTGTGTTTCTGAGTGATTTTCTCCATGTGTCTGTTTTAGGTATGAAAATCCTTTGAGCCCTTTAGGGCAGCACATCTCCAGTGAGCTGGGTCTGACAAAGAGACACTTCTTTGAGATCCCTAGTCCACACTGCAACCTGGACCTGGATGAATATGAGTATGAAGATGACTTTGAATGACCCTCGATCCTGCACCACAAGCCTGCTGAGCGCTGTGCGCTCCCAGACACAGAGCTCGACCAGCAGTGTTAGTTGATGAGTCGCATCAAGTCAGAGACTCACAAGTTCAGGCCCGGTTCACATCATGCGTAACAGGACAAATAAACAATAAGTAAACAGGGAGTGAATGCCAAACCAGAACACAGCATCAGATGTTAGATGATAGAAATGTACACAGAGTCACACAGTGGACTAACAGGAAATGTGAAGGGGTCTGATGGTCGGTGGTTTTTCACAATACTGTATGTTTTCACCTGCCACACTTAAAGAAGTCACCAAAGCTGACTTTATGATGTCACAAGCAGCACGTTTTCACCATCCCCACTTGTTAAAGGTAAAGTTTTGCATGTAATGCTTTTGTACAAATAATGTTTGGGGCAAGTGTTACTTCATCTGCTCATCGGTACTGTGTAATCACATTCTTCACAGTGGAGATCCCTGGATTGTCGGACAGAAACCATGTTGATTTTATTCAGGTTTTGAACTAATTATCATCTGAAGTCATTGGCTAATACATTCCAGTGATCACAACTGAGGATTTTCTATAAAATGGTTGTTTAAATGACGAGTTACTTTAAATGCCAAACAAGCCACCGTTGAGCCTGCTGTACACACACACACACACACACACACAGACACACAGACAAGCACACAGTTCAGACTGCCACACAGTGTATATTGTACAGGTCGGTATTCATTGTGACTTAGATTTAATGTATGTGTGAGATGGGGTTATAAATTATTAGAGATGAATTTATAAATAACTGTAAATATTTATTTGGTGCTTGCTGTGTTGTAAATGATTTGGGCAAGTGTTTTAGAGAAATTCTTTTTTCTATGTTATAAAGTACCCAATTTGAATGTACTTTGACAGAACAAAAGGAACCAATTTTTAAATGTTTTGCTTTTCTTTAAATTAATAATAAAGCCTTGTTTAATGGAAGAGTAAAGAAAACAGACTGTGCATTTTTATTTGAGCCATCTAGTAAAAACTAGTTTTGAGTTTTACCGCTGCACACAAATATATACAAATACTTGTTATCCCTCTTGTAAAATGTCTTTATGGGTATTAAGTCAAACAAGGTGTTAAGGTACGTATAGGAATGAACAACAACAAAAATATTACAGCTTTTTTATTTCAATTAATGTACAGTAATACATAAGTTGTTTTTGGCAAACTAACCCAACTATTTCCTATAAGGAGCAATAATAAAGTGGCACGCAGGACAATAAAGCAAAATTCTTAATGTACTCTGAGATAATTAGACAATTCTCGGACCTGAGTGTGATCAAAAGGTAAAATAAAAGATGGATCATTTAGTGTCACTTGTAACATTCAAGTACAGTACAGACATGTAAAAACACATACTGATACTCTTGGTCCTCAAATGAAAGCCGTCTGAATAAAATAAACTTGACATTATTTGAAGAATTAGGGTAGTGTTATTCTATATCTTTCTCACTGTTAACAAATCCCATAAAAATACTCATTATACTTACTAGTTCTTTATGCACCCATACACATTGGTTTCCATTAGTAAACATAAAATATTTAAAAAGTGATAATAGATTGTTTTTTATCTCAAACAGCAATAAAAGTGCATTTGTTGGGGACTATTTTCAGCTGCGAATTAATACATATTTGGTGCTCTAGTTAGTCAATCTAGCAGCAGGACAGTGAATGTGGGATTGATTCAGGTAAACTACAGCACCCATGTTCTTTATAATGTAGAAAAATGTCACCCAATGCAACTGTGTGGCTCACTCATGTGTTTTTAATATTAAGGTTTACGGCTTAGAGGAAAAGATGTATCAGGCTTGGGCTGAATTCTTGTTGTTTTTGGTCTTTTTATGGGATTTGTTGACAATAAAAATAGAATATCGCAGACTTATCCTATATCCTCATACAAACATAATATACTGTATTTTTTCAGCAAACCTGTATTAGCAGAACAAAAATGGACACTGAGACGTCTGCTAACAGCAAAGACAAATAATAAAAGGTTTGTGTTGTCCAGTGAGGTCTCATTGTCCAGACAGAAGCACCGATCATCCCCAACCTCCAAACTGTTACAGTTCAACTTCCACGGTGTCGTCATCATCATCCTCATTGCCTGTGCTGAACACAGATGTGTCTATATTCAATCTTTTTGCAAGGGGTTCCGCAGGGACAGAAAAAGGACCCGTATCAGTCGTCTTTTCCTGATGGCTGAGAAGTAAGACAAGGTTACAGTCATTAATATGAGCGGAGTGAAAAAGAATGAATATGAAATGAATAAGAATCTGAATGTGAGAGCCTCACCTTGGACTGAAGCCTGACCTGTGAGCTTTGCTAACTTTGGAGTCTGCAGGGCTGAACGGGCAGGGGGACTTGCTTCCTAAAAAAAAAAAAACCAGATACACACGTGATGCAGCTGGTACTTTGTGACAATGAGGACATAAAATACTGTGTTAGTGTAGTACCTTCTAGTTTTTGTTTGGAGAAGGGAGAGCGATTGGGCAGGTACGGCTTCCTGTCAGAGCTAACATAGGACACGGCGTCCTCCCCTTCAGCTACAGCTAATAGGGAAGCGCGATAGTAGATAAGTGGCTGCCAGCACTCCTCCCTCAGGTCAATAATGTGCTCTGCACTATGTTTCTGAAGGTAGGAGAACCTGCACAGACATGAACAGACTTTCAGAAAGCCAGGTTTATGATATTAAAAACCAGTTTGTAATCCCGGCATGCAGTGTGCAGCACTTACACTGTTTTCTTGTCTGGTTTGAGCAGTTTGCTGGAGAACTCACTGAGGATGGTGAGGTAGGAGAGGTACGTCGGCGTAGGTGTTTCTGGGGTCTGACTGAACTCCTGGAACACAAACTCTATGCCGTTCCTGCACATATTAACACACAAGCAACACACACACACACACACACACACTTCAGGCACAAAATAACCTGAAAACAACAAATCAGAGTAATGAGAAACAAGAGCCCACGTTGACCTGTGGATCATGACGACGCATTCTCGAAACTTGACGAGGTCCCCGAAGGTGAGGGCGAACCGCCTGGCGAGCTCTTTGATGCTGGTGAAGGTCTGGACTCCTGGCTGAGCCCTGCCGCCGCTCTCCTGCTCTCGCTTTAAACGGACAAACAGCTGGGGAAAGTGGAGGAAAACACATCAGCACCTTGCATGTAGCTGTGTGTGTGTTTAGCTTATTTGTTAGGGAGCAACTATACGGAGTACGGCGTATGGAGCAACTATACCTGCTGCAAACAGAGGACCAGCGTGCGAGCGCTCTCTATCTTATCTATCTGTCTGGTCCTGTACATCGTCTCCTTGATGATGTCTCCGAAGTCGTTATAGTACTGAGGACAAAAAGGGAGAAATTTAATATGGGACGCTCCGCTTTTTGGCTGTTTGGTTCCAGCAGTCAAATTCACACAAATGATGCACGGCTCAACACGCCGATAGAGGACGTTCGGACGGAGCCAGGCTAGCTGTTTCCCCCTGTTTCCAGTCTTTGTGCTAAGCTAAGCTAATCGACTGGGGGTTTTGTTTTACACACATAGGTCCGAAGTACAATCACACCCACAGGGCTTATAGATATGCAAATGTGGAGAGATGGTGGAGTTCCAGGAGCAGTTGGGGGTTAGGTGCCTTGCTCAAGAGCACCCTGGAGGATGGAACTGGTACCTCTCCAGCTACCAGTCCACACTCCACACCATGCCTCCCACATATTTACCGTAGAGACACGACAGTGGTATTAATCTTCTCATCTGACTTTTGACAGGAAAGCTAATAGGCATCACCTCCCAAAAATGTCTGACTACTCATTTGACACAACGTTTACCTTCATGTAGTACATGAAGATCTCAGCCGCCATGCTCATCTCCAGCACTCCATGCACTATCAGTTTGCAGTAGGCCGCGAGCAGATTTCTTCGTTTGTGAAGGTCCTCCAGCCTCTCCACTTCAGAGTTTTCACTGACTGAGGGAGCCAGATGGGAGTTGAAGCGTGTGGTTGGATGTGAAGTGGTCGGGAGCGAGGGAAGGGGAAAGGGGGTGATGTAAGAAGAGTGATTAATCATGAGAAATCATATAAGAGAAAGAAAAAGAACAAAGCAGAGGCGGGAAATAGTGTTTTAGTTAGTTTCAGGACAATGGCTTTAGCAGGTGGAAATCAAAGATAACATAAGACTAGAGTTATGGTTGTGACACCATGTGGCTTCAATCTTTCACAAGGCTAATAAAATAGGCTCGGAGGTGAGCCAGAGTTAATGGAATTTTCTCACGGAAAGAGATTGCCCTGATTTTATGATTTAACTCAGTGCCCTTGCCCTCCGAGTGATCTCTGATCCAGCAGCTAATAGAAAACACTGTCTATATAACAAAACCATTACCAGGCAAATCCAATAAAACAATGGCTTTTTATTACATGTTCAAAAACCAATAATCCTGTATTGTATTTGGTTGAACATTTAAGAGATTCCCACCAGGACAGCTATCGACTTCTCTGGACTATCCCACATTTGGATGCAATATGTCTCTGAAAATAGAAGCTATTGTAAAGGTAATAAAATGTTTTAGTTATAGACGGCCATGAATGAATTCATAAGTTTACCTGTAGGACTTTACAAAGAGAACACTATGTATTTCCAACATGTCAATCTTGTTCTTTGTTCTCATTGTAGAAGAGTGGGGAACATACTGTTGTCATCAATTTACAAGCTGCATCACTTTGCATAACAAAGTCTTACATCCTTTCATACAAATTAGTAGAGCCGGTTTCAGTCTGAGGATATTAACAGGGCTGCCTCTGTAATTGAGGGTCAATTGTCAGGTCGGGCTGGAAATCAGACCCCATTTACAGTCAGCGGGCAGCTGTGCAGCGAGTTATTAAGCCAAATGTGTGGCCGTGCATTTAATATCTGCATGGTTTTACCGCGGTGAGCTGCTGCACTGAATCAACGCTTCACTCAGAGCCACGCGGGCCCGAGAGAAGATGCTGTGCTCTGACAGAGTGAGAGTGCCATCTACTGTGTGATACTGCAATGTGTGTCCTGGTGGTCTAGTGTTTAGGGTGGGTAACATTCACACACTAATCGCAGCATGCCGGGGACCTTTGCAGTGGTGGAAAGTAACATTTATTCAATGAATGTACTCGAGTACAATTCTAAGGTGGGTGTACTTTATTTTCTTTATTTAAAGCTACTTCATGCTCCACTACATTTATATATTTTTCTGAGATTTTACATGAAAAAAATCTGATAAGCTTATAAAATAAAATTTGTTTAAAATTCCCAAGCGTTGTGACTTTTTGTTTAAACTTCTCACACGGCTCTATTTAGAGAACTGTTCGACGCGTAGTCAAATTATAAATCGCGTCAACACAAAAAACAAAGAGTAGAGAAAAGTTTCGAAATACAATACAATTGGTGTATCAGAGTTTTTTTTTTTCTTTCCTTCCCCATTAATCTTTACAACCCCCTCAGATCTATGCTCAAACCGAGCGGTACAACGGATACACCAGACGCATCGAAAAGCATAAGTTAAAGCAGTATAAATCCGACTTATGCATCTGCATCGTAGTTAACAATCTAATCATCTGATAATAAGATAAGAGCCATCAACCGAGGGAACATTTGTCTGAATAATAATGATACTCTGATTTTGAATGCAGTACAGGGGCTATGAGCATGATTTGTTACATCATAACTAGTCAATCATTTGCATGCAAGTGTAATGTAGAAATTTGGAGCCACCAGTGCACAGACACTGAGAGTGGACTTTACAGTGAAGTAGGAGAAGGAAAACTTTAGAAATTAAAAAATGTATATTCATATATCCTGGAATTTTTAATGAGGTAGAAGGAGTAGATGCCTTTTAAATTACATATTTACTTTTTTGCAGAAAAAAATTATCAGACACATGTTATTGTTGTGTATATACTGTCCTAATACATGTCTAGGGGGATCTTTACATTAACATTTTGAGTAGTTCTTCCACCACCGGGCTTTTGTCACATGTCATCCCCCTCTCTCCCCCTGTTTCTAGTCCCCTCTCTACTGTCAAATAAAGGCAAAAATGCCACACAAAAATCTAAAACGTATCCTCAATTAAACATATATGTTGTATAGGAAAATACATTTATTCTTAAAGATACGCTGCAGACATATAAAATACTCAAAAATAATTTCTGTCTGAAAAAAGTTCAATTCTGAAATTCTTAAAATTACATCTACTCCTTTTTCCTCATGTGCAAATATTTTCTCTTTCATTTCAAGTTTAACTGCTGGACACTGAAAAGTCTATTCTCAGTGTATGTGTACTGGAGGTTTCCACATCACACATCACATGTAAGATACATGTTGGATGTTACACACAGAAACGTTCCCCCTTCAGCCGACGAATGTGCAAAACAGTCTAGTGTCACATTCTGCACATCCATCACTCTGCGCAGTGAGGCTCAAACAACGTGATGTAACAATAAGAAAAACATATTTGCACAGAGGTTAAGTCAGTAAAAACAGGCCTCACCACTGCTCTGGCTGTCACAGTCTGGTCCAACAAAGACGTGCATGCATACAAAGGTCAACAGCGCCCTCTGCAGTTTGGGACTGGGAGTGTAGAGCAGTGGACCGAAGGACGTGGGATCCCACACGTGGAGCTGGTAGGAATGAGCCGTCAGAATGTCGCAGATACCCAGGAAAGCCTAATGTGGAACAATTAGAAAGTTAGAGCCACAGAGTAAATGGTTCCATTGCTGTTTGTGCTTCCCGTCCGGCCTACCTGCTGCCGCACGCTGAGGTCAGAGTGGGAGAGACAGTGATGACCCCTCTCGCAGAAGAGCCGCAGCTGAAGTCTCTGGGCCACAGCTTTCTCCTAAAACACGCCAACGAGTTTTATTTTACCATCACAGAGGACAAAGAAAATATCCACACTTGAAAAGAACCAGTGCTGAAAACTCTGATATGTGAGCTGCTGCACTGGTTGCTTGTAATCACTGGTTTTAAACCCTTAAAGATTATTCTACTATTGCAGTCACTGTAAGGCTGAGACCACTTATCAATCAATACGGCAGTAAAATCAACCAGAAAATTAGAAACATGTGGAGTGAGGGTTGCCTCAGTCACTTATCCAAACACACCAGTCACTTTTTAAAAAGAAACTATTTAATTTCTTCACAGGGATATAACTTCTCTTGCAAAAACGAATTATGTTTGTATTATATTTAAATGTATGTTTGCTCAAATAACAGCTGTACATGGTATTAGTTTTAATTTCATAATTATTACTGGATATGGAAATATGAAATATGATATGAAATATATATATTATATTATGTATAGGATGTTTTGTTGTAACTGATGCTCTGCCCACTGATGTGAATACGGACACACACATACATACATTAACATATAACCTGAAAATATCAATATGTTGGCCATTTGCTTTCAGGCCAATATGTTGGCCATTTGCTACAGTTCTGCACACACATCTCTTATTCTCCTATTTCTAAATCCTTATACTCAAACTAGTTAAAGGTAACTCACTCTGGAGGTTAGAGTTTCACTACTGGTGTTGAGAGACCAGAGCATGGAGTAACACAGACACTGCAGCACTTCCAGCAGCACCTTCAGACAAAAGTTGTTATACAAAGACAGTGGATGCATAAGTGCAAAAAAACTCTAATTTTAAAAGAAGCCAGATTTCCAGTGTGGTTACCTCAGGCAGTGCTCCTCCCTGGCTGCTCTCCACTGACAGCAGAGGAGACAACAGCTCAAACAGGTTCCACCGGACGAGGTCGTGGCAGCTAACAACGTATGAAGAGAAACAGGTAAGTACAGCCAAAAAATACACATCGCTGGCAGACTGTTGTTGGCTCAAACTTTGTTGTCAAATCTCACTTGTGGAAGGCTCTGAGTTTCTTCAGCGTGGCTAAGATTTCTCCAGTTTTCTCCTCGTCAGCAGACAAACTGTCACCCTACAACAGAGAAATAGGAAATGATAAGTCGCACTGTCAGACAGGGCTCTTTGTGCTTTTTAATACACAGAGTATAGAGGCTTGCCTCGACACCATGGGTCTCCAACAAAAAAAAAAAATGAAGATTAAGATTGAGTTTACAGAACATGCTTTGTGGCCACTCACGGGCTACCAGGTGCCATCACATTGGAGACCTCTGCTCTATACCCTCTTAGCTTGTGACTTGTGTGTGTTAATAATGTCTACCAGTGACCCCTCATCACAGGTTACAGAGTGTGGACATCAGTTATGAGCAGTTCAACCTATTCTGATTGTTTCATTTGACGGATTTTTAGAGGCCTGAAGAAGTGAAAGTATTTCACAAAAAGACAAAAATAGAGAAAAGTCTAAAGAATGTACATTATTCTGTGTAGCAGAGGTATCTGGTGAGACATCAATTTCTCACTTTCCCAAATGAACAACTAAGAGAGAACAAAAACATGCTTTTGGCCATCCAGTGTAACAGTTCCCCTCACCTCGAGTGAGTCTCCCAGCAGCGCTGTCAGCTGGTCCACCCAGCACTGGACCAGAGAGTCTCTGGCAGCCCGGGCCACGGAGAACCCGGCCGTCTCCTCCCCACACAGACTGAGGTAGGTGCGGGCTGCAGCCTCCAGAACAGCGGGGCCTGAGTGGAGCTCCAAAACAGCTCCCATCTCTGCGATCAGGTCGGACACTGCCTGAGGACGAGGATGAGAACAACACAGACTCACTTCAGTTTCTCTCCCCATTAATATTTCATTACATTCTTCATGAAACGTTGAAAGGCAGTTGATGCAGACCTGTGTGTTTTCAGCCTCGGGACACTCTGGGAGGAAGTACTGAGGAATCTTCATCAGGGAGGCGACAATGTCACAACTACTTGAGAACTGCACAAACAACATCATCAATGAACATACATTATCATAATATAAAGTCCAGAAACTAATTACTGACTAATATATTGACAGTTGTGTGTGGAATAAATACCTTAGACAGTAACTTAGGAAGCACAATGAGGAGATGTTCGGTTAGCTTAGTACAATCATCAATCAGTATTTTCTTTTCCCGAGCACTCATCACCTAAAATATTAAAACACATAGACTCAGAAAGTAGCCAGAATGAACAAACCAAACAGTGGCTCTAGACAGGGCCTTTTCAAGAGTTTCACTGTTGTTTCTCCTACATGCCTGAAAGGCGAGCAGTACATAATTGGTCGCAATCTGCAACTTCATGTGTCTCATAAATGGGGATGAATCTCCCACTGACCTTCTTTGCTCCGCTCCGTCCTGCCAGCGCTGGTCCCTCTGAGGCCTGACGCACCGATGCTACCAGGATCTCCACAAGCACAGCTTGTTCTGCCAGAGTGAGACCTGCACACACACACACACACACACCAATAATGAGAAGCAGATATTGTATACACATTCTATTACAAATACAACATTTGAATAAATCAAATCAACTACAAAAAATCCTAATTTATGAATGTATACCAAGCTCTCATCCCTTTAAAGGTCCAGTGTGTAACATTTAGGAGGATCTATTGGCAGAAATGGAATGTGCCAAACAATGGCAGACAGATTTTCCCACGTTTCGCGGCCGCCGTAGTTTCTCCTTCCTGCTAGGAAAGGTAGAGTGAACCGAGGGAGTTGCAATCTTTAACTATACAGTTAGATGCCATGAAATCCTACACACTGGACCTTTAAAAGATTATTTAACAAGCCTTTTTTACCTCAGTCTATTGCATATTCACTAAAACACAGATGTTTTTATGCATCCAATGGACAATAATACAACAGACATTTAGTTGCCTTTATGTCACACACACGTCACACACACTTAACAGCTGCCCCTCTTAGTGGATAAGTCCATTATTCAGAATATAGGGTGTTAGTTGCTGAAGACATATTTATGAAATGGCAGCTTGCTAAGGTGCTTTACACATCTGGGGCATCACAATAATATTCACAAATATGCTTTAGTCATCAATAAGCAGTAGCTTTTATTCTAAGAGGTCTCCTTCTTTCACTTCACAACACTTCTGCCTACTCCACCACAAATACACACACACACATCACACTTACCTGGACTATGTGAGGAAGGGTCCTCCAGCAGTACAGAAGTGAGTGCAGGCCAGTCCTTCAGCAGGGCTCCACCACAGTCCCACAGACTGTCCACTATGTACACCACATGCTTGTGCAGCTGAAAGCATACACAGACAAGACACATTAGTCCGTCTGTGTAATGAAAGTAGGTTGTTTTCTTAGCTAAAGCGAGAGCCTTGAATTAAACAGTCGGTGTGTTTTTTACCTCAGACTCCTGGTAGAACTGCAGCAGAGCCTTCAGTCTGGCAAATGTTTGTTGTTTATGTGCCTCCTCCTCACTTATTTCATCCTGAGTATCAGATGCAGGGGCTACAGTGTTGAGAAGCCTGACAGAGACCAACAATATCCATATAAAAATGTATTTCCTGTTTGTTTGTTTTTGTTTGTTTTTGTTTGTTTCCAGTGATGGAGGTCGACTTACCTTGAGAAGAGCAGCTCCCCTGCAGTGGCCGCAAGAGGGCGCTGTGAAGAGTAAACAAACTGCAGGAGCTGCTTGTAGTCCTCTGGACTGAGCACATCATCACATGTTCTGAGGAGGCAGAAATTAAGGAAGCAAAGGAAAATGATACATTATGGAACATTAAGTCTGACTGTAACAAGAACTACAAATAGATAGGTGACTCACTTGGAGATGAGAACTAGAAGTTTCATTGACTGCACTGCCACCTCATTGTCCTTATCCAGGGTCATGGAAATCATCCGCTCCTGGAACACAGACAGTAAACAAGTATGAGCGTACACTTCTACATTCTGGATAGTAACACTCCGACAGCTCTGTGGAATGTGAAAAGGTTGTCTGTATCCTTTGTAATGCCAGAGACAGACTTATGATTAGAATGTATTGTTTTGGTTCAGTCTCACCACTCATCAGCCTCCAAACTAGCAGAAAAAGAAATGCCTGGAAAAGCCACTTGGGGGCAGTGGAAGCAAGTTGTGAACACAACAATAATGCACATATTATACCATGCTCCACTATGTTCATCTCTAAATGTATCTGTCTGCTGTTTGGTGTGTTGAGAGTAGGTAGTGCAGAGTGGGTTTTTAGAGCATTCTCACTGAAAACAGCTGCCTGCTGCTGCTGAAAACAACACTATGAGAGTGGTGAGAGCAAACAAAACAGTACATTTAGCAGCCGGACAGACAATTAGCTAAAACTTGCTGTAAAGCTCAGGCAATAATTCTCTTTATCTCACTATGAGCGACCACCCTTCACATTATCACATTATTTTCACATTGTTGCTCAAAGAAATAGTAAATACTGGACTTGGTTGATATTGCCAGAAATGAAAAGAGCTTCTGTTGAATGTGTAAACAGGACAGTGTTTAAGTGCTTACCTTGAAGCGGCTGGTGAACAGGTCTAGTTTAGGGAGGAGCACAGGATCTCCATACAAATCCTGAAGACCTAACACACACTTGAGACGGACATCTGGGATCTGAAAGATGATGTGCATGTCAGTGCAGAGACAATGCAGAGTGTGTACAGTATCTAAATTGTTTTCAGTTTTACAATGCAGTTTAGTAGCATGTGTTATTTTTGTGTTACGTCATATTGTGCCAATCAGGGGTAGGTAACATGCTCTTTAGTTCCTGCCTAATGGTTCCCTGTGGCCGTTTTTCATCTGTGAAAAGCTTTGTCAACACTGTTTACTTTTAGTCCTGTTTAGGACATGGGGCAGTGGTGTACTTCAGCCTCATGTGGTCAAAATGAGTATTACAACAACAAACACAGAAAAAAACCTGACAAAAAATAAATTCGCCTGGTTTCACAGGTGAGAAAACATTAAACTCATTAAAATGATCTTCAATAACAAAAAAATAATCCACCTTTTTTCACAGATGAAAAAGTGAAAGTGATTGGAAAATGATTGCAAGAACAAATACATTTAACTTGACTTTCAGGGCTTCCATACTAAAGCGATTCTTACATTCTCCAATTGTAAAAAATCTGTAGCCATTAAACATCAGATGAAAAAATATGTTTAGGTACTCTGTGGTACTGTATGCTTGATCTGCTTGAAAAATGTGCATTATAAGGCTCAAATATGATTTTCAGCTCTGGAAAGATTTTCTTTTTTTTGGCCCATAAATGTCTCTTTGATAGGAAAGGACCCCTGTGCTACAGCACAAGTTTGCTGTTGTTTACCTTGTCATGCATCATCCAGCCCATGTATTTGAGATAGCTATCATTGAGAAACGCAGAACTGTAGAGCTTCATCCACAAACCCAACTCCTCCATACAGATAGAGCGGATTTCTGGAAGCACATCACTGCACGGGCACACACAAAATCAGCTCAGCACTAAATTAGATTACGCTCTAATGCACATTCAAAATCTATGCTGAAACAGTGTCACAGAAACAGTTACCGGTATCTTTTCAGAAAAACTCCTTTGAAGATGATGTCCATCATGCTCTCTATCTCCGCCCTCTTCTCCTGCAGCTTGAAGAGCATAAGGGAAGGCATACAGAAGCCACACAGTTAGTCAGACATGACTCATTTCACACAAAATTCTTCTATACACAGCCAAAGTGACACTGTTCTTACCTCTGTGATCTTCTTCTGTATTCTCTCCAGTTGCAGTGTGCTTTTCTGTCTCATCGTCTTTGTCTTCTGCACCTCATACAGTTTTTGACTGTTTTCAATGCTAACGCTCAGGCTTAGAGCCACGCCCGCCAGAGAGCTCAGCAGCTTCACCGCTTATTAGGGACATCCAGAGCAAAATCAAAAAGTACAGATTAGTTTATTGAATGTGTTTATGTATCTGTGTGTGTGTGTGTTTTGTACTCCTTACCTGCTAGTGTGCAGGTGTGTCTGAAAGCCCGTACATAAGAGTTGGACAGTTCGGTGAGCAGTGAGATGAGGGTGTTCATAAGGTAACTGTCAAATATGACGCTGTGCTGACACTGAGCCACCAGCACCGACACAAAGTCACAGAACTCGGAGTGGAACCATCGACCGTACGGTCCAGGCTGTATCAGAGGATACTCCACGCTATCCTACAGCAGAGGGGGGGGGGGGAAAAAAGGGGGAACACTTTGAAGGGAAGCAATGACTTGAAGGTTGGAGATGCGGGTCACTTAAAGGCTCAATTTATTTGGCATCTTTACTTTCCTGATGTGAAGGAGTATGTTGGGACAGGATATGAACCAACTGGGTATCAGTTCAGTTAGAAGGAAAAAAGAAAGAAGCTGGTCATCTTCAAAGGTCAAGGGAGAATTTCTCTCCATATGCAGTACTGAACAGGGGAGAGAGATTGTGTTCCTTCAGTGCTACGGTGTACACAATAAAGAAAGAAACAGGTACAAAAGACAGCAAAATACAGTAGTATTAAATAGTATAACACAATACACTCGTGGTAAGATTGTAGTTGCGCTTTTCCAGCAAGCCAGGCACTCAATTCATGACAGGATCTCTAGCTCCCCCAACTGCTCAGGTGAAGCAGTTCAAAAACAGTTCCCAGGAGTGAGAGACAGTAACTGAGACTAAAACAGGGCATTCCTGTGAAACAGGTACTACACTCTGTGAACCTACCCCTGGACACATAAAGGTATTGGAACACTAAGTTGAATACATCAGAGCTCAATCCAAAATCACTCCCACAGCTACTTATCTTTACTTTCTGTTTTACTGTCACTGAGGGTCTGAATACAAAGCATAAATATATGCACTTCATGGCACCCTGAGAAAAACACTACTTATTTCTTGCTCGAACAATGCAATGTTAGGCTTTTGCTGTGGAGATAATCATAGTTATGTGAAACAATACACTTCACCTACAAGGGCACACTTAATTGAAATATTATCAAATCGCATAATGGCCAAGTGCAATATCCATATCGCAGAAACTGCAATCTTTTGGTACAATGTGTGCCAAAGCAGCTTTATAATGAAGTACTGTGGTGCTGCAGAGATGATCGGGCCTACAAATCTTGTTCTGTTGATTTAGGAAAACATGTTTGTTTGGTACCGTCCCCCGACAAATTCTGCATCATCATGATTTTAATAGTTTTTCTTAGTAAAAAATAATATATTATCTGTCAAAATAAATGTGATATTGTTCAGCCCTACCACCGATACACAATAATTATAAATCAAAAGTGTCCAATATCTCAAAGTACTACTCACTATTAAGCTCCATATTGAGTCGTTATTATGAAGGGAATAGAAAATATGTGCATGAGGGAGCAATCATAATAATATTATAATAATTGGCATTGTGTGCCTGTTATGAACCCGATTGATTAAAGAAATGGTGGGGCAAAAAGGTGAATTAAAAATGAATGATAATACAGGGAGTTGAAACTCCATCAAGCAGGGAGGCACTACTGACTGTGTCCATGGGCCACGTGACTGTGAGGATCCATGGAAAGGCCAGAAACTTCTTATACTGCAGACCAGTGACCTGAAACACACACACACAGTCATACAGTTTCAGTTCAAAGTGTTAAAACGGATGCGACAGTGAAGAAGACCACGCAGACTGAAGACCTCTTACCTCATCCAGCTCCTCCACCATCTTACTCATGACTTCACTGTCCTCTTTGCTCTGACACATCTCTGCTGTGACCACACCTGGGAGAGACAGGAGGGACACTTAGACCTGACTGTGTGTGTATTCTATGTGTGTGTGTGTGTGTGTGTGTGTGTGTGTGGGATGGGCGGGTGTGGAGGGGGTCCTCTTGCCTTTGCACCCAGAGCACTGGATGAAGAAGCTGATGAGATCGAGGAGAGAGGAGTCTCTGTTCGCCACGTAAGCCTCAAGCCAATCATCGATCACCGCCTGCTCAGACATCACATAAGAGTCAATTAGTGTGTTTACTGTATTAATGTTCTGCTGATGAGAGTAATGACCTAATGTCTGATCAACTTTACATTCCAAAATATATCAGATAATATAATTGTCCCAGGTAGTGTATTATGGCTTTTTTATAATGATGATATTGGCTCATTCTTATTTTGCTCATTAACTGAATATACTGACTATAATGACCATAAATTCATTATTAATATACATGTCAAGACTCAGACTACTGAGAAATACAAAAATAGTATAATTTGACGTCAGAGCCTTGTCTATTTAATATATTTTTTATTTTACGTTTATTTAACCAGATAAGTCAATTGAGAACCAGTTCTCATTTACAATGACGACCTTGCCCAGAGGCAGCAACAGGAGGCAAGTTGATACAACAAGTAAAACATACATACAGCTAATGCAAAGAACATAGTTAAACAGATTAAAAATAGAAAATAGATACAGTATGTACACAACCAAGATCTAAGTACTGTGTTCCTATGACTTCCTACTGACTTTCAAAGGAAACAAAATAAGACAATCTAGAGCAGCAGCAGCAAATACACCACAGCTGAGAGTTGAGTCATCTTGCCTGCATGGCGCTCCTGCCCATGGTGACCACCTCGAACAGGGTGACGGCCTCCACATGCCTCTGTTTACCATGGCTGCCTCCTGCTCTTCTAACACTGCTGCGGCCGGCTTTGGCACTTTTGCGTTTGACATTCTCTGAGCCGTTGTGTGCTCTCTTCCTTCGCCTCTGTGGGTTTCCAAAAATGTGACAGATAGGACGGTAAAGGTATGCATGAGTTCACAACAGTGTGTTGCATCCTGAACAGGCCAAATACAAATTTGTGAATCGCAAAGTCCTCTGTGGTAGCATCAAAGTACCTTGACTGATCAAGGTGCAAATTCAAGAGTCAGTCAGACACGTCACTCTTCCATCTGAGCGCTAACAAGCTTCATCACGCTTCAGTAACACTTAGTGCTTGCATTATAATTTCCAAGGGGCTAAAACCCAAAGATATTCAGTTTGCTATCATACATGATAAAGAAAAGTAGCAAATCTTCCCATATGGCATTCTTTGCTTGGTAAAAATATCCAATCAGCCCCTACAATAGGCCTTTTTCACAGCTGACATTTTGACTTGTTATAGTAGGAAAAGCACATGTGTTACTAAGTTACTAAGCGTTACCATGACAGTGTGACAGTGAGCCAGCACAAACAATACCAGGACCCTGAAACTGAAGCAGCTATATGTAATTCAGCAATGTCGTGCAATGTAATCATTTCCTGAAAAAGTAATAAAATCTGCACTCAACTTGATAATAATTTTTTTTTTTAAATTAAAAAAATATGTAAATAAAACATTTAATGTAATAACTTGACCAATAATGTAGTAAAATATCCTGACTGACATTGTAATAACATCTTTACAGAAAATATTCAGGTGGGTCAGTATTTAAAAGGTATGCTGGTATGGTAAATTAACCTACTGAAAACACTAATAGGCCCCAAAACATATAAAAATTAAAAATAACAATAATAACAATAATAATAATAATAATAATAATTAATAAATAAATACATTCCCTTGACTCCTTAGAAATGTAAACTCTAGGCTTTATGTAGAATTTGAAATTTACAGCACATGGCAAGTGGTACGTTGTTATCAGGCACAGCTGCATTAAACTGAAATCCCAATTATCTATTATCGGTATTATCAGTCACATTTTATTACATTATTGGGTTTTATTACATTTCCAATCAAGTTAAGATAAGATTTTATTCCATTTTCAGGAAATTACTATATTATTGGGTACACCTGTGCTTACTGTGACATGTCAAAATATCTGCTGTGAAAAAGGCCAACTGTGAGAGTAAAATCACCCGAAGGTATCACAGGGCTGTGCATTATGCTTTCATTGCATCATCGCCCTGCTCCTCTACTGCTGCTCTCCCTGCAGACTGCTGCTTTCAGGCCCTTTCTGGAGGGACCCCTGCATGCTACATGCTGAACAGGGAAGCACTTACCACACTCTTGTGTCTGTTCTCATTCCCAGACTCATCCTCGGAATGATTGACAGGCCCCGAGGAGTTTGCCTCATCATGAGTGTTCTTACTGGGAAGTCACAAAACACATCAAATTAGAATACACGAGCAGAAAAATGAAATTAACACTCAATGACACACACACACACACTCTCTCTTACTTGTGCTGTGAGGACCTGGATGCAGCTGTGGGATCTGGTATCATGTCCTCCTCAGGTCTTTACACAGAGCTCAGGTGTGTGTGGAAGGTGGGGTGCAGATATGTCAGACCGCCTGAGCAGCCACAGTGATACCGGGTCAGTGTTAACTCTCATAATCATTCATATAACACTCATATGTTAGCTAACATGCGTCTGTCTACACATGTTGACACCAGTAATAATTCCCTGAAGTAGTCCTGTAACACAGATTAAAACTGACTCACAGGTAAACAGGCAGGTCAGTCGCTCCTGAACTTCCCAAACTCACCCTGTTCACATGGATTCATCCTTCCCAGATGTTCCCTGATGTCTCGTTTGAACCCCGAAGGCTGTCACACTAATACAATTCAAACATTACCACGAATATCCTCCTTCTTCCCCCCACAGCTCTCATAGTCAAGTAGCCGGACAGCCTAACTCTCCCTGATTGGCTGACGAACCAACACAGACTTATGTGATTGGCTCATCTGAGACGTCACTCACAGCTGTGTCCCTCCCCTGGCGGCTGTGACGGACAGACGCCGTCCGGTTAGGGTTTTCTGCATACCTCAGCACTGTAAACATCTGTTCACTGCTCCTGTACACTCCAGACACCAGACAGTCGCTGTGTCGTTATAAAGTCTTGTTTTTTACAACTCTAATAAACAACAGTACAGTTCATTTATCCGTCCTGCTGTTAGTTTGGTGTAAAGTGTTTTGAGTTAGCCCTTGTTGTCTCTCTCTTGTGTATTTTAATTAACCACACTAGCAGTTGTTAATTCAGCAGGGAGCTGTCTCGGAGTAATGTTTTGCAGGAACTGAACAGCAGGAGGCGCCATTTCCTTATCTTGATTTGGTTTTACAGGCTCAGTGTTGGAGGGACTCTATTCCCTCTGTTCATCCAAGAGGTTTGGTGGTGTACAAATGCAGGAAATCTTCATCTTCCATTTTTCCCCCTATGGAATCATGATTATGTTATCTGATAGTAAGTAATTATTTGACAAAAGCTGCCTCATATGAACCCATGCTCATCAAAAGGACACATACAAACCATTATAAGGGACCAATTTCGGATTATTTGTGGGATTACAAGATATTGTATGAAAATACTATATATATATACTATAATATTAAATATGGTTGCTGCTTTTATTTATTTAGTGACTTCCTTCTGTTTGTGTTATACTCTCTTTTGTATGGATTTCTCTATTTCATAGATTTCACAGATGGAATGTCTCATTTGACATGTTAACTTGTCCTATATCAGCTCTCAAAATCAATAAAACATTTGAATTATTGAAAAAAGATACTCAAAAATTGAGCCAATACTTTATGAGGGACTGTATTGTTTACTGATGTGACGGCTAGTCTGTATTTATGTGAATCCTGTTACTTAACTAATTCAAAAACCATCAACCTTTATCAGGAACTGTGTAGCAAGGGCAGAGGAGCCTTTGCTCGTAGTTACTTGTGTATTTTACCTGCTATGACAGGTCAAAATATTCTCATCACATCTACCAAACACGTCTGAAGTGAGGACATAGAGTCTCATAACAGGGAGAAAGCAAAAACATTTCCCTATTGCATTCAATTTTATTATTCCACTTTAGGTTAAAAAATTAAAACAAAATTATAACAGTAGTTATAACAGTAGTGCAAGGAGGGATTCAACAAGCTTACATTCATTTCCAAACAACTGACTCACCATAGGGACTAACATGGGCCACATTCAGGAGGACAATATAAAAACCTAGGTGATTTGTAAAGTAAGTAGGTCATCCAATCCCATCGTCAGCTGAATCAAGTTGTGTAGCACCTTTATACAGTCGTAACAACATCAGTTTATTTAAAAGCAGGAGACTCCTGGAGAAACCTGGTGCATCCAAACGTCAGGACTCACAGAGGCGCTTCGACAGGGTGAGTCAGGACAGGAACTGTGACACAAAGGTCACGGCCTGGTGAAGGTCTTCTGTCAGCTCCTCCGGCAGTGACAACACCACCGATGTCACGCTTTGAGTTATTTCTAATATCCTGCATGGAGCACACAGCATACGGTTGTAATTAGATTGCTGCTGTGTTAATCACCATCTAACTGAACGTTTGGATTTGAACTCACCAGCTGATGTAGTGAGCGGCCAGCTGAGGTTCATGCCTGGAGCCTTCCTCTACCACTAGACACTGTTTCATCTGCTTGAAGTTGGCCTCAATATCTTTCTTTATTTCAGAGAAAGCCTGAATTCCTCTGAAAGAGCTGATGACTTGCTGCAAAAAAGTGACGTTAAAAGCACACAACTTACAGTGGAGTGGAAACATAGAGGCTGGTGCATGATAGAAAAAAAGCTGAAACAATGATTTATGACAATTTATTCTTCTTACATATATAACCGAGAGCTGGTGGGCGATGTATTTATGACTCCCAAGGTGCCTGATATCTTCTTCTAGCTGCTGACTCAGCACCAGGAGCTGGTTCAGTTTGGCAATGTGGAAGAAGTATTCTGTAGAAGAAGCATCGGCTTACGTTAGTCAGTATTTTCTTTATTTAATCTTAATTTAACCATTAACCAGTCATTAAGAACGAATCCTTATATACAAAGGTGGCCTGGCAAAAGGCAAATCAAAGGTTAAAGAGACAGCGGCATCAGGAAATACAGCGACAGAAGCACAAGCAGTAAGACAAACAGCAGCAGCAAGAGAAGAGAAGTATGGATGAACTTAATTGAAGAGAAATCCCTCTTCTCCGTCACTGTTGTTGTTATTGTTCCAGTTACAAGACATGCACATGAACATAACAGAGTGGCGAGAACATACATTCTCTATAACCAGTGGTGGAAGAACATTTTGTGCCTTCACTTGAGTAAAAATTAGAAATGCCACAGTGTAAATATACTCTATTAAATAATAAAAGTCCTACATTCAAAATCTACGCTTTGTTATCAGCGAAGTAAAAGCACTCATTGTGTAGAATAATGGCCCCTGTGAGTTTTTTATTCACTTGTTAACATTAATTTAATTACCTGTCATCGAAAATTAAGGTGGGATTGATTTGAACTACTTTATAAGCTTTTGGGTAGTTAAATCTGTAACAGTGCGTCATATTCTATTAGAAAATCTTGTGTTTTGCATTTAAAATCTTAATGCGCAAAGTAGCCACTATTTGTCAAGTGAAGTATAAATATTGTGGAGTTTAAATATAAAGGAGAAATGGAAATTCTGAAGTAAAATAAAATAACAGTACTTCCCGCCACTGACTATAATATAATCTGTGCTGGATGTCCATCTTAGATTAATACAGAACAGCATATTTTATAATTAGAAAGAAGCCTTTTTTTCCAGCTTTGCATTGTTTTTACATGTGTTGAGATGAATTCCAGTATAGGAAGATCTAGATATTTTAAGTCTCTTTTTAAATATATACATAATCTATCTTCACCAACAATAACATATTGGGACATGCTTCTTCCTCCTAGCTGGGGATAAATTTAAATCCTCAGCTGGATCTCTTACCGTCCATTGGCGGCCTCTCCAGCATGTCCACTGGGCTGCCTTGAATGAGGAACACCTCTACACGAGGAAACATCACTGATAGACCCACCATGTCCAGGTAGTCCTGAGGACACATAAACCCACAGACTTCTGGTACAGAATGCAGCGGTTATCTTGGATCGCAGCTTTCTTATTTCAAGTATGTGAAGCGATTGCTCTGATATTCCATGGTATGCTGCTTGATTTGTACATTATTATTAGACGTGATACCTCCAGCTGTGGCATAGGCTTTGGTAGATGTTCAAGGCACTGCAGCATCTGGTCAAGAATCTCTGATCCTTTAAGAATATAGCACAAAAAACTTTAATATATGGGAGCTCTCCAAGTCCAATTAAACACTTTGATACTTTGTCACACTGACCTTGGGCCTGGAAAGTGTCTGACTCCTCTGGGCTACAGCCTTGTCCTAACTGCTCCTGGAACTGTAACATAGAAATTATGAATAAAGTCACAGGATGAAAAGAGGAGCATCTTATACAGAGTGATGTGAAATGCTTGTGAACCGTAGGACAGACTGCACCATTATAAACAGTTTTAAAGTCTTGGGATGTTGACACATGATTCTCATGTTTAAGCCGCAATGAATTCCTCATGTCTAATGCTGCCTTTGGGTGCTGTCGTAAATGTCAGAGTTATAAGATGGGATACGTTTACAAGAAGACTGTTGCTCACTATTTAATACAAAGAAAAGAGTGTTTGGCCTGGATGTAAATGATGTTTTTTTTTTTATTATTCCTGGCTGGCAGCACTATAAAGGATTTCAAGAAACAGTTTTACTGAAGTTGGTATTTTCTATTTCTGGGTTTCCATTCAAGCAGTTTGATGTAAATGATGTAAGTGTTAAGAAAAGCTTTGTTCTGTTAAAAACTAAAGAACAAATCCTGAAAAACAAATTAGAGATGATGGAAAATGCATGTACAAGTCCTAATTGTAGTTGTATGGACATTCATTTTGCATCAGCCCACTGTCATGTGCATTTCTTGTCATCTTTATATAACATGATGTATTGCCAACAATAGCTGGAATAACTAATGTCCTGCTCATCCAGTGCTAGTTGTCTCTCATTGAATGGGTGTATTGTGCATTAGTTAACAGGGGCGTATCCAAGGGGTGGCCTGGTTTGCCACCCCTTTATCCTAAACTATGACTGGCTATTTGCCGATCAAAGTAAGGTTCAAACCAAAGTTTATAAAAATGTTTTAAACTTTATAAAAGTGTTTGCAAGCCAACATAACAACAGGTGTATTACCTGTTTTGAATGTCCAAGATGGCTGACAAATATATCCTGGGCTGTGTTCTAAGAAGCAGCTAGTAGCTCTTGTGACATTTCACTGTAGCACATTTTCTGTAGGAGATTTGTGTTGTAGATTTCACTGTAGATTTGAAGTTTTGCACAATCTTTGTCCACCCAGGATGATTTATTTTCATTTTGTCGGTACTTTATACTGTGACTGTGTTTTTCAACTGCATTGTTTTGTTTTGTGCCTACTTTTGGAAGCTATTATATTATATTATATTATATTTGCATGGCACCGCGCATGTGTTGTGATTGGTGTTGGTCTATTAATCTTTTCAACAAACATCTTAAACACAAGAATATAAAAAACTGTAAGATAGTGTAATGTAATGTAATTAAAGTATACATGTGAAACGGTAAATTAATCCTATTCCAACCTGCATAAGTTAATGACCCACTTGGGCCACCCCAGTCATAAAAAATCTGGATACGCCACTGTTAGTTAACATTATACCTCCAGGATGCCTGTTAACTTTGCACCAGCTGCTGGACATGTTTTTGATATTTGACAGATGGAAACTGCGTTAAATGTGTGCACCCTACCTGCTGCATCTGTGCCCTGACGAGGAGGTCCAGTTGCCCACAAAGACACAACATCTCCAGGCCCACCTGCTCTGGACTCAGCTGGACGGGCATCAGGGGTCTCTTCACCTGTAGCTCCACTGACCACACAGCGGCAACCAAATCAGTAGAACTGTCTCACATCCCCCCTTTTTTTTTGTCTTGCACATCTTAATGAACACAAACACACAGCTGGGGCACCACCACAGCTTATGAAACAACGTGCATATGTCATCTATCCTCCAGGTCCACGGAAGGATGGAGATGAAGGGCTGGAGGGGAGTGGTCAGTGTGCTGAGATGAGCCTTGCAGGGCGCACTCCTCCAAAGATGCAGTTTAATTCAAACACCAGAGAGACTTTAACATGACACTGCATAAAGCCGAAATAAAAACGAGTGTGTGCTGCTGGGACTTACCTTTGAACGCTTCATGGTAAACGCAGGGCTGACAGAGCGGCTCTGTAGTGCTCACTGCCATATCTGACTGTAACGGGCTCAGATGATCTCACTGTTCTCCTAGATGGGTCCCGCTGATGATCAACGCCATATGAAGCTGATAATAGAAAAGTCAATAGCCCAGGGGGGGCTAGAGAACAATAGATTAGGGTCTATTTGTTTATATTATTGCATTTGGTCGGAACTGTCCATCGCAAGGGGTGCGTTCGAGTACCAAACGTTCAGTCAGGGTGGAATAAAAGCCGGTACTATGTTTCTTCATCCGTACTTTGTCGTTACGATGCAGCCTTATGGTGAAGAATAAAGCCTTTCCTCCCGAGGATCCATGTAGCTGTTGAAAGATTGGTGTAATAATTGGAAGAAAACAATGCCCACGCCCTTTGCAACAACAGCCGTGCAGTCACAGTCTGTGATTTGCAGTCTTGAACGCCCCTCACACAGACTGGGGACTAGCCTTTCGGAATGATGTCATGTTTTAGGGATGAAGAGCGCAGCATCACTTGGTGAGGATAAGATAAGATAAGATATTCCTTTAATAGTCCCACAATGGGGAAATTCCAATATTA